GTATGTATGCATGTACTGTATGTATGTATGTACGTATGCATGTATGTTTGAATGTATGTATTTGTGTATGTATGTATATATGTATGTACGTATGTATGTATGTATGTATGTATGTATGTATGTATGCATGTATGTATGTATGTATGTATGTATGTATATATGTATGTACATATGTACGTATGTACGTATGTATGTATGTATGTATTTATTTATTTAAGCATGTGTGCATGTATCCACTTAAATGGATGGATGGACGGATGGATGGATGGATTCTCATTTAACTTCATGAACTTTGATTTAGGTATTGAACTGCCTGCTTAGTACTACCTCATTTATGTGTGAACCCATCTGTCTATTTGCTTCTTCAAGAGTACAAGGGTTTGCACAGCTCGCTTTGTCGCGCATGTTTGCAACTCAATACAACTTGCTAGTCCACTGAAGCTTCCGGGAGCCAAGGCTTACCATGTGCAAAAAGTTGTTGAAGGACACGAGTCAAGGTCGCAACAGCTTCCGCGGATATTCCGCACAACTACTGCCAGACCGTCCAGACCCACGTTGGAGACCTCCCCTCAGACTCACACGAGACTTTGCCATGCACATAGATGAAGTTCGTGAGCACTTGCAGCGATGCAGCGCCTGTGCACTACTTCCATTTGCCGCGGGCCCAGGATGCCGTCCTCGCACACACAGCATCAGACTCCACTGCGAGGCTCCGCGGTGCAGCACATTTTTGACACTGCTGCGCTGTGCCAGGGTCCATCATCCGGCTGGCGACGGACGTACCAACGCCCCATGCTAAGCCTGCACAAGCAAGTAGCCGTTTGAGAAAGTTTGAGAAAAGTCTTGAATAGGTCCACGCAGAGCAGGGCGCACCATCCATGAGTGCACCCCGCAAGCCACCGCCAAGCCCCCCGGCGGCCTAGAAACAGCTCAAATCTGCGGTGCGTCGTTTCACCACCGGTCCCTGGGCATGTCTTCGAGCTCGGGCCCTGACAGGCACACCTGCCTGGCAAGAGGAGCTCAGGCACCGTGTGAAGCTCTGGGCTCGGCCTCTGGCCTCCGGCTGCGGAGCAACGGCGCTGGGCTTCGGCGCGCCCAGGGCTGTCGTCTGCGATGGGTGCCGAGAGAGAGCCACAAAGCCACAAAGAGCTCAAAGTTGGTGGCCGTATTTGCACTGCTTGCGTTGGTTTTTGGGCTGCAGCTTTGCCTGAATCAACTCAAGGCCTCAACTTTCATGGTATACCAGACGACATCGGCCATGCTGTGATTCGGCCGGTCGGCAACTCTCAAACGTTCAGCCTTCCCGGTCGCAGGCAAGGCCGTGCTCGCGACCGGCGCAAGAAGCATGCAAAGCCCATTGGACCGAAGCAAACGAGACACGGAGGGACCTGATTCGTCTCTTTATTCCACCAGTAGCTTTGCCCGGAAGAAGGATCCTTCACCTCGGCAAGATGCAACCGGCTTCCCTGTGACCCCACAGATCTCCACAGCTGTATGGCACGAGAACGCTACAAAACTTTGTAAGCGAAAGAGCATGGAAGGAGCTGGTCCAGTGGTGTCCAGGGTTGGGTAGAGAATGTTAGAACATGCTAGAGGGCTTTGAGGATTCGGGGTTTCAAGCGACTACGGGGTGGTTGAGACGGCCCGTTTGCGGATGCTGAAGGAATCTCGAGGCATTACACCTCATCGCATGCCGGGCTTCAACGGACGAAAACGACGGGAAGAGCAACAGCACCTGCCCCTTGCAGAGAAACGCTTTTGTGGTGAGCGAAGAGTTCGGGACAGGCCACGGCACCCAAAGCAAAGGAGATTGCGGGCGCAAAAACCCAAACACCCTAAACCCTAAACTTTAAACGGTAGGTGAGTGGTAGAAACCTGTCGGGTACAGAAGGCATCAGTACGCAATTCAAACGTAGGACAGGAGATCTGCAAACCCGAAACGGAGATGGAGGGTGCGATAACACAATACAACCCGCAGAAATCTGCAACAGCTATAGGAGATTCGGGCCGGAGATGGTGATGCTGCACGGGGTGGTGGTTTAATCGTGCATTGGTGCTCGAATGGCGAGTGCCATCAGTGCCAGGGGTCGTGGCTGCTTGGATCGGTGTCCGAACCTGTGCCATGCTTGCATCGCTGGGCTTGAGCGCGTTTTCGCTCGAGGCGGTGCTCGACTTAGCACTCGACTTTTGGGCCTGGTATCGCTGGGGCGTGCGACTGGGAGAATGCTGTTGAACCAGGCCCAAACTGATGTCGGATGATGTCGGTAGCTCTCGAATGTACAAGCGCCAGAAACGACACGAATGCAGATGGGCCACCTGCTGCCATTGGTCCGGCCCAGGTTTTGCAGCACCCACGGCCGTAGTCTGGCAAACAGTTTGAAAGTGTCACTCTGCGATGCTGACGTTGCTGACACGATGCATATTCCGTCACAGTCTCTGATTCAGCTCACAACTATTGAACGAAGTTCGCTGTCACACGTGGGCCGGCTAAAAGCTTGGGCTTCTTTGCGCCGTGGCAGAATTGCCGAGACTTTGAGCCAGCCTCGTTGGTTCGCTTGTTCCACCAATAGGAGTTGCCGCTCGGATCTTGGACCTCCGGAGCTTGCCAAGGATGGGCCCAGATAAACTCGCCGTGTCTCAAGCAAAACAACTACTGATACTACTGGCTCACACCTGCAGGCCCGGCCTCCTGCCAGTCATCCGCAATCGGTGTTGGCGCTTTCGTCGCCGAGGCCGCCACAGGTTTTGCAGCTGGCAAGCACTACCGGCAAAAAACCCTGTTTACGAAAGGCATACATGGCTACAGCATTGAAGCTGCCCGCAACCAGTTTTTGCCTCCCTGTCTTCTTCGTCGTCCGAAACTCTCCGAAACACTGACTCCAGACCATTCGCCTCCGATCTTCCGAGCAAAGCGTCTCGCAACGGAGACGCGCAGCATCAAGGCCGCGAAGACGCTGGTAGGACAGCGTCACCGTGGAAAACGTCTGGTCCTTGCTCATCGTGCAATCAATGTCAAGACCGTCCCCCTACCGGTCTGGTTCACCTAAACAGCCTGCCCCATGCTATTCTGAGGTCGCTGCCGCGAGATAGAAAGTTTTCTGAACACGTACTCACGAAGCAAACCCAAGGAGCGGACCGGCTGGGCTGTCTCGGGCTCTAAGCTGTGATCCACGCACGGCTTCGAGGAAAGCTTCGTTGCAACCGAACCAGCCTACATAGGAGCGACAAGATCACACAAACACGCATGACGGCGTTTGGCCACCCGCTGTTGCGTCGTTGTGGGCACCAAGCTGACATCCCACATGTACACAAAGGCAGCTGTCACACTGACTGGCTTCCTATCGCCAAGCTTCGTTGGAAAACTGCCATCATGCCCGAATCGGAACAACCGAAACTATGGCTGGCGTCGTGATGCGTGGTGGTGCAGCTCGCGGCATACCTTGCGGCATACCTTGCGAGCATGTACAGCAGCGCACTGTGCGGCAGGGCTGCTGTTTCCCGGAAATGTTAAAAGGAGACAAAAGAAAACACTGCCGGCCGGCGATGGGCGCCACACCAGAGACAGTGCTGCGCTCGCACAGGACCCGAGCGACATAAATGCCAGCACCACAATCCACTGGAAGTTTGCTGGAGGCCACATGTCCCCGCATCCCTTCGGAGTGCCGGAGTACAATCGCCAAAGTAGTTTTGTGCAATGGCTTTACGCAAGCACTTGCCTTGCCTTGTCAAGAACCAAGAGCAGAAACTAGTGAAGATTAAAAGCTTGGCTCTCTCTTCTCAAGTTTGTCGTCAGACCGGATGAAACAAATATGGAACACCCGTTGGAAGATGCAGCTGGAAGGCGCAACAGTACACGTCTCAAAAAGCTCTGAAAGTGAGCCATGCTTTCGGGGACTTCCACGAAATTACCGATCCCAAGGCCATCGTAGGTAAAGATGGCATGGTAAACATTGCAGCTAAAATTGGAGGGTCGACAAGTAGACAAACTGCTGCGTGCAGCCTTTCTGGCATGTCATGCAGACCACTCACAACACTAACCTGAACGTTGTGCATCGCGTGTCTCATCATCCGTCTTGACCGAAGCAATTCTAGCTGCGCGAGAATTCAATCGTTGCTGAGATTGCTGGAGGGGAATGGTTCGACTAACATGGCCAGCATTCTGCCACAAGCACGCACGTCTCCCTGTGCTTCAGACCGCATTGCGTCTACGTCTGTTGCTTGGAAAAGAAGACATGTCCTGGCAAGTGCATGATGTATCATTGACACGTAGTTTTCCTAGCCTGCGGCAGTCCTGGCCGAATCTCTGCAGATCTACATCGGTGACGCTACAAGTAGTAAGTGCTGCGACACTGCGGATTTGGCATCTATCAAGAAAAAGCCGCACCACAAGAAAACAAGTGTCCAGGATAAGGCCTGATGCAACGGCAACTCTTGCAAAGCATTCCCGACGCAGACTAACATCAAATCCGCTTCGGCCCCCAATGCCTTTGCTGGTCTGTACCACACCTCACCCTTCCTTCCTCCGGACCTATTGACCAACTTCAAGGCCAGGTGGTGTAGTTTCGTGTCCTACCGTCAATGACACCTGTCTGAAGCAATCTGGCCAAGAATTCTTCCTTGCACCCCGGCCCTTCCCCCGCGCTTCTGCCCCCCCCCCTCCACTCTTCTTTCAACATCGGGTTGAAGAAACAACAATCGAGGACGACGGAGGCCTTCTTCATTTGCGGCCGGGCCGAGGCGGGCGACTCAAAGCGTTTACAATTATGGGTGTGCGTACGAAATCATTATGCAAATATGCATACATACATGCATACATACATACATACTAAGATACATACTAACATTACATCGCATTACATTACAATACAATACATCACAATACATCACAATACATACAATAAAGTACAATACATTACACTACAATTGTGAAAATCTGCCGCCTGCTAACTCTGGAAATGCTTTGGGATCCGTTCGGGGTTGCGTGGGAGATTGCGTTTCCGGGTCCGTTCTGGATGCATTTGGGATCCGTTTGTTGTTCCATTTTCCTGGAACAAGTGCGTTTTTGGATCCGTTTGGGGATCGTTTGGGGCCGGAGCTGGGCGCCGGGACCCTCCCCCCTCCTTTTTCCCGAGCTGGGGGTGGGTTCCCGACCCCCGCCCCCCCAACCCCGGGAACGGATCCCCAGACGGATCCCCAAACGGAAACAAACAAAACACTTTTTCGAGGAAAAGTGCGTTTTGGATCCGTTTGGGGATCCGCCTCGTGTGAGTGCTTACATATCTGTTGTTTCTCCGCACATATATATATATATATGCACGTATTAAAAGCACATAAACATTGTGGGGCCTGGGGATTTTTGTTCTATGTTGAAGATAGGAGAGCCAAGGTTCAAAGATGATAACGACGACCATGATGGAGATGATGGCGGCGACGATGATGATGATGATGATGATGACGCTCGTGATGATGGTGATGATGGGAGTGATGGGGTGCGTGCGAGTGGGTTCTTGCCCGTGTTCGTTTGGTATACAGATGTTCCCTGCTGTTCTCGATAAAAGGCTACACATTTGTGTTGCACTCGCAACATAATGTCCGAATGCTTTGTTCCTTTGCCGAGAAGACCCTCGATTCATGACGGCTGTTGATTTATTGGAAGTGCAGAAGCAGCGTGTTGGCTGAACATGTTTTGCTCTCACGAACTGCTTCGCCCGCTGTCCTTCCCTATCTCGCTGCCTTCCCCGTGACCTTGCCTGAGACTGCGCATGGGCACACGACGGGAGGATACACAGGAGCTGAAGCTCCAAACACTGCGGAAGTCACGAGCATGAAACCATTCACGTGTGCTTTATCCTTGCAGAAACCTGACGTCAGTGCAAAATGCAAACTGCAGCACAGACTGGGCAAGAGTAAGCATACGAACGAGTACCGATTGAAACCGATTAAACCGATTGAAATTTCAATCGGTGCCTGGATCCAAGATCCAAGATTGCCCAAGGGTCTGTGGGCAGAATCTTGGATCTTGGATCTTGGCCCCGATTGAAATTTCAATCGGTCAAAGATTCCATGGACAATCTTGTCTTTGAGTGTGTATGGATGTGTTTGGGTGACCTTACACTGTGTGCTTGTGCGTTGGTGGCCTTGGGTTTCCATATGGTCGGTTTTGTCATGAGGAGACGATCGTGAGCGGAAGAATGGTCATGAAGAGATGATCGCTGAAAAGAGATAAGAAACATAGAACTTTGGGGGGGGGGGTGCCATATATATATATA